TTGTTTTGTACAATGAAATGGATGGGGAGAAGATGAAAAGTATTCGAAAAGGAAGATGAATACTGATCCTTCTCAATCCTCATTGCCTTATACCATTAGTATTTTGGGGAACTGATTAGGCTTTTCTCAGGGGTCATTTCGTAGAAAAAGAGCTAGGGGAACTCATTAGCATAACTCATTTGCATATGTCCTGCAAGGCCAGCGGGAGTGCGAGGAAGCCCCGCCAAGGCCCTCCCTGGCCCCAGGCAGGCAGGGGTGGGGAGAGGCGGGGGGGGAGCAACTTACCCTCCCTCTTCTCCTGCGGTGGACCTGCAAGGCCAGCGGGAGTGTGAGGAAGCCCCGCGAAGGCCCTCCCTGGCCCCAGGCAGGCAGGGTGGGGAGAGGTGGGGAGGAAGCAACTTACCCTCCCTCTTCTCCTGCCTCCTCCTGGCTGAATGAGGGCCGGAAGCGGGGCGGCCGGAAGCAGGGGGCGGGGCTTCGTCATGTGCCCCGCCCCCTGCACCTCACCCGGGGGAACTGTGTTCCCCCGCGATCCCCCCCGAAATGACCTCTGGCTCTTCTTGACTGCAACATGTGGGTGCCACTATTCAGCATAGGAGGATGTTTGGTTCTGTAGGAGGCACTCTTGGATTTTGTTTTTTCATTCTTGTACAAAGTGCTACAAGCAGAAAGGCTATACAAGGGATTAGCCTCTGTACCACATAGGGTCGCCAACTCTGGGTTGGGAAAAACCTGGAGATTTGGAGGGGAGCCTAGGGAGGGCAGAGTTTGAGGAGACGAGGAACCTCAGCAGGATATAAGGCCATAGAGTCTGCCCTCTAAAGCTGCCGTTTTCTCCAGCGGGAACTGCTGTCTATTGCCTGGATGTTATAATTCCAGGGGATCACCAAGCCCCCACCTGGAGGCTGGCAACCCTAATGCCACATGGGTTAAAAGACAGCACTCCCCCACCCCATTTAAACATCCCTGCACACAGATCTTGTGGCTGTCCTAGCCAGCAAGGAATGCTTTCCAAAGCTGTTTTGAGATGCCCCCCACACACACACTTAGCAATTTGGTTGGAGACTGCCCAGCCAAGGGAGCCACCCAGCCACACACGCCAAGGCCTCAGCCAGGCCAAAGGGATCCCAGGGGTGTGGCAACAGAAAGGAGCAGGGTGGGACCCAGCCCAGGACAGGAGGCCCAGACAGGGAGCCCAGATCCAGAGGAGAGCACCTAGTGGGGTGGGAAAGGGGACTGGTAGTCCCAGCCTCACTAGGGCCAAGCAGGGTGTGAGCAAATCCCCCTCCTCCTGCTAACGGAGGCCCACTGAGGAAATGGGAAGCTGGAGGGTGCTGCATCCTTGGACTCTGTCCCTATGACAAAGGAATCTGACAAAAGACAAAGCAGCGAAGCTCAGCGCAGGCTTCATACCTGGTGACTGATAGTCCAGAAAAATGCCTTCAGCAGCTACTGTCTTCCTTGCCCCCCTGAGGTAATTTCTTCTGCCCTGACATTCAAAAGAACTTTGCCCTGGCACTACAGTTCACTTTCTCTCTCTTCCAGTGGGCAACCTTGCAAAGACCAGACCCTCCCTCTCCTTCTAGTTCTGAGATCTGCAACACAGGGCCCCTGCCCATGGCAACCCACCGATGTTTTTTCTGATGTCCTTTCCCCCCAAAGTCCCAATCCTTGTAGTTTTCCCCTGCCTGCTTGGTGCAGGAGATGCTTCAGAGGAGTCCAGGAGATAGAACTTTTGTGTTTGCAAGGAAGCACCCATTTGGAAACAGCTGCCTCCCTCACAGCAGGATGCTTGGACTAGAAGGGAACCTCCCAGCATTTTGTGGTTGGAGCACCCTTTGTGACAGCCATTTTGTGGTGGTGCTCACTACCTGTGCTCAAAACTCTAGGAGTATCTGCTGGCTAGGGTTGCCAGCAGGCCTGGAGAAAAACATCCTGCCCTTTTAACAGAGGCTTAATATATGAAAATAGGTAGCTAAAGCATCTCATGGTATGGAGGTGAATATTATCTCATTGGGGTGTATCTAACCAGCTTTTCTGCTGGTAACATGAAGACTTCACTTGGCCATACAAAATACTTCAGCAGAGGATCATAAGAACACAATGTTGGATCAGGCCAAAGGCCCATCCAGTCCAACACTCTGTGTCACACAGTGGCCAGAAATACCAGTGCCATCAGGAGGTCCACCAGTGGGGCCAGGACATTAGAAGCCCTCCCACTGTTGACCCCCCCCCCAAGCACCAAGAAGACAGAGCATCACTTGCCCCAGAGCCCCTATCTATACCTTGTGGCTAATAGCCACTGATGGACCTCTGCTCCATATGCTTATCTAATTCCCTTTTGAAGTCGTCCATGCTTGTAGCCACCGCCACTTCCTGTGGCAGTGAATTCCATTTGTTAATCACTCTTTGGGTGAAGAAGTACTTCCTTTTATCTGTCCTAACCCGATTGCTCAGCAATTTCATTGAGTGCCCACGAGTTCTTGTATTGTGAGTCTCTGTTGGTGTTCACAATGGAACAAGGGTTCTGGCTGGAAGAAAGTAGGATTACAGACTGTGTTGGGAGCTATACTGGAAACTTCTGGGGGCCAGAACAGGGTCTCCAAATAACAGGGGAAAGTATCAATTTACTCTTGTCATTCTTTTCAAGGCACCTCTATTTGTATTGTTCCCTATAACTTCCTCTCTCTGCTTTTCTTCTGTTATTTTCCCTTCTTTTGTATCCATGTACGGTATCTTTTTCTCATTTTCCTATCCCTTTGGTTACAAGAATCTTGTTACAAGCTGCAGTACCCCAGCTAGCTTTCCAGTTTTGGGGGGGGGAGCTTCATTTGAACTCTGATAGGGGCTCCCTCCCTACAGACCCAAAGTCTCTGCTAACTGCCTTTCAAAAGGAAAGCTATGAGCAGCTCTTTGCTTTGAGGAAAACAAGTTTTTTGTTAGAGAGTTCTCTGGGCAGCCACAAGGAAACGTGGCCAAGTCCAGAAATATAAAGAACGCTGTGTCTATACCTAAGCTGAGATGTTTTATACTCAAAGCAATAGCATGAAGCTGCTCAGGCTGAAAGTGATTGGCTCAGAATTTCCTAATAGGCTTTGAGGCTGAGTAGAAATTTTTGTACAGTAATAGGAGAACCCCAGCCGTGTCAACTTTCTGCTTCTGTTGACTACTTATCAACAGCACAAAGCCTCTTAAGGTACGGCTCTGGTGACTGTTTTATAACTTTTCTACACTTTCCCATCTTACCCTTCCGCTTTCTTCGGCGCTAAGGTTGCAGAACCACTACACCAGCAAGGTAATTTGAGTATCAGACTGGGATCTGGGTGGCCTCAGATTCAAATCCTCACTTTGGCATGGTAGTTCACTGGGTAACCCTGGGCCAAATACATTCTCAGCCTTAGCCTACCTAACAGGGTTATTGTTGTGAAGATAAAAATGGAGGGAAGGAGAATGATATAATTGGCTTTTGGTCCTCACTGGGGAGAAAGGTAGGATATAGATGAAGTAAGTAAGTGTTACATTGACACTCACAACGTAGTCTGATATGGGCATTTGCCATTGCTGCATAGAGATATATGTGCAATACTGGAATGGTTATCAAAAAGACTCATGCACGGTATCCAATATCTGAACTGCAGACTCACTATGAATTGTCTAGTGACTGTGACTATTGTTTTTAAACAACGTAGGTTGAAAATTAATACAAACAGGCTTCTTTCCTGTTAAATCACAGCTTTTATTTTCCTCCCTCCCCCCCAAGCATGCAAAACTGATACATTGTGGTCAAAGACTCATCTTTTTGACCATACAGAATATTTACAAAGAACAAAACAGTGCATGTTTAGCTGCAACAGCTGCACTTATTCGACAGAGGCTCTTTGCAGACACAGCCCTTGGCACAGTTGGTGCAGCCAGCCGGGCAACAGGAACAGCAACCTGGAAGAATCCAAAGATAAGACGTTTAGGGCAGGGATTATGGGTGTCTCATTAGTTAAGAGCCCAGCATTTAAACTACTCCAGACAAAGAAATCTATTGTAGTGATCCCCAATGTGGCACCTATGGGCACTGTGGCACCCTCTGATGGGTTCCCCAACACACCTTTGGTGGTGGTGGTGGTGGACGAGGAGAAAAGCACCATCAAGTCGTGGCTGATTTATGTCAATCCCCTCATGGGGATTTCAAGGCAAAAGAGGAAGGGAGGTGGTTTGCCCCAGCCTGCCTCTACGCAGCAAGCTTTGGACTTACTCTGTCATCTCCCATCCAAATACTAACTAGAGCTGAGCCTGCTTAGCTTCCAAGGTCAGGTTAGCCTGGGCCATTCACCCCGTGGCAGCTGGCCTTATGGACAAGAAGCCAGTTCTGGCTTTCCTCCACCTCAACAGAGCAGAAGGTGCTTCTGAAGAGCCCGGGGAAGCATCGCCTTTGAGTCTGCAGGGAGCGCCCATCCAGAAATAACTACCCGTGTTGTAGGACGAAACGTGGCTCACAGCGGCCTCACATTCTTTTAATTGCCCTCAGCACCCCATAGCAGCCATTTTGTGCACCCATGACTAGAATTCTTGACACCACATTGTAAGAGCCATATCAGCAACTGAAGTATACCCCAAGAAAGCAAGCAACAGGTTTTAAATCCTGACCCTTCTTTTCTGGTGTAGTGGTTAGAATGTCGGACTAGGATCTGGGAGGCCTGGGTTTGAATCCCCACTCTGCCATGGAAGTTTGCTGAGTGATCTTGAGCCAGTCACCCACTCTCAGCCTGAGCTACCTCACAGAGTTGTAGTGAGGATAAAATGGACGAAGGAAGAAAGACAAGGAAACAAGTAAACATACTCACTTTTTTTGCAGGAAGTACATTTGCAATTTTTGCATTTGCAGGAACCAGCACAGGTACAAGAACCACCTGAAGGAAAAAGGGGGAAGAAAAACATAAGTCTCATGGTATTAAGCAAAAAATATATATTAAAGTCACACATAGCATAGTCAGCTGCATGGAGAATAGTGTCCTGTCCAATGCTCCCTCTAAGCTGCGGAGTCTTGTGAGCAAAAATTCTTCTCTGTGAGTTACTGGCATTAAAGTTGTGAGCAGGCGATTTGGCTACTGCATACATTAGTCTGCTCTGGAGCCATCCTCCCTGAGCTAAGACAAAAATGTGTGAGGTGGAGGCTAAAAAACTGTGAGCTAGCTCACATTGACTCAGCTTAGATGGAACACTGGTCGTGTCCCTTTAAGAGAAGTTTAATACATGCAAAAGGACAGCTGGAGCTTTTCACAGTGAGCAATTAAATCACACCCTACTAAACCTCTATTAAAGGGACAGTATATTTTATCTCCAGGCCTGTTGGCATTATTATTTGATTTGTTAAGCACCCTGTCCCTGCTTGTGCAGGGCTCTGGGCAATGTACCACAAAAAGGCATAAAGCCATAAAACAAACATACATTCCAAACACACCTCCGCAACTGGCAACATAACAGCTAGTTTGCAACAAGGCCATTTTACCAGCATCACTGTGTAGGACAGTGTGGGTTAAAACCCCTTGGCCTCAGATTCCTCTTCTGAAATTCCTGCCCCACAGCTACATAGGAAGAATCAAAGTGCAGAAACCATTAGAGGTAAATCTGCATAGATCTAATTAGAATAGTTTGGGGCCATCATGAGCCTGCAGGGTTTCTTTTCAGTAAAAAAGGGACACACTTAGCTGTCTTTTCCCTGTTTGAAAGCCAGTCCACACTATAGGACTTTCACCACCACAACTGACAGAATTTGTTTCTTCCCTGAAGTTCCCTTCCTCTGTAAAGCCATAAATTAAGATGCAATCCTGTATATATCATTGCAACTTCATCTTGAAGCAATAAAGGTTTATAAGTTCAATCAGGCTATTTAACAAACTTGGTATTTAGAAGTACAGGGAAAAGCTGCATTATTGAATTATTTGTGTGAGATTATAACAGCAGTTGAGAGAGACCAGTGGCCTCGCCAAAGTTAAATGGGTGGATCCCACATACCAGTTGTGATGGAAGATGCCAACAGCCTCTCAAAGTAGAGGGAGCCCCTAAAATGCTAGGATTTGCAATACTTTAAAAGCCTGGGCTACAATCCTAAACACCCTTACTACAGAATAGGTTTCATTGTCCTCAGTGGGAGGCTTACATGTTCATGCAATTCACTTATACCCTGCCTTTCTCCCTAATGGGGCCCTGAGGCAGCTTACATCACTCCCCTCTTCTCCAATTTATCCTCACAACATTCCTGTGAGGTAGGCTAGGCTGAGAGGGTGTGACTGGCCCAAGGTCACCCATGGTGAGCTTCCATGGCACAACTGAGGATTGGAACCTGGGTCTCCCAGATACTAGTCTGATACTCTTAACCACTACACCACACTGGCTCTCATGCTGCATGGCCTCAAGTTAGCGTTAGCTTCTTTTTTTAAAAGTACATAAGCGCAGTAAACCAAGTATGACAAGAGATTTGGGGGAGAGCAAGCCACTCTGAAGATTGTTCCTCCTAGAAGGAATCACACCTTCTCTCCTGCCTTTCAGCTAGGGTTGCCAGGTCTGGCTTGGAAACTACCTGGAGACTTCGGGGGTAGATCCGGGAGAGGGCGGGGCTTGGGGAGGGGCCTCAGCATGGTACAATGCCATAGAGCCCACCCTTCAAAGCAGCCATTTTTTCCAGGGGAGCTGATCTCTGTCAGCTGGAGATCAGTTGTAAAAGGGGGAGGTCTCCAGGCCCCACCTGGAGGGTGGCAACCCTAGGAGGAGGGGATGGGAGGCTGGGATAATAGAGGGAACTACAGTTATTTACAGGCAATATTTTTATTTGAAAAATAATGGCAGATCTCCAGGCTGGGGGTTGGACTAGATGGTCTGTATGGCCCCTTCCAACTCTATGATTAACCCTAATTTCAGTGGCTGAAATTATTAATAACCAAATTATAATCAGCAAAGGATCTCAGATGGATGAACCCACAAGGCTGTCTTTTTATGGAGTCAGACTGTTGGGCCGATCAAAGTCAGTGTTGTCTACTCTGAAGGGCAGCAGCTCTCCAAGAGGAGGTCCTTTTCTTTACCTACCACCTGGTCTTTTCAACTGGCAATGCTGAGGGTTGAATCTGGGACCATCTCCATGCAAAGCAGATGCTTTCCCATCGGGAGATGGTCCCAGGTTGGCACAGGAATCACTCCTCTACTAAAGAACGATCACAGAGCTTAAGCCTATTGACTCAGAATCAAGTTCTAAGACCCACTTTGGGGTTTAACTGATTCAAATAGTTACAACCAGTGTTCCCTCTAAGCTGAGTTAGTGTGAGCTAGCTCACTGTTTTTTAGCCTCTGGCTCACACATTTTTGTCTCCACTCAGGAAGGAGGGCTCCAGAGCAAACTAATTCATGCAGTAGCCAAATCGCTCACTCACAACTTTAATGCCGGTAGCTCACAAAGTAGATTTTTTGCTCACAAGACTCCATGGCTTAGAGGGAACATTGGTTACAACTAGCACTGGAAAGACCCAAGTTCAAATCCCCCCCAAATAAAATGGAGAAGGGGAAAATATTGTGCACCACTTTGGATCCTATCAGGGAGAAAGGTGTTGTACAAATTAACAGCATGTCATATACTCGGCAACTGTAGCCTAGTTATTAACTTTAATGCCGGTAGCTCACAAAGTAGATTTTTTGCTCACAAGACTCCATGGCTTAGAGGGAACATTGGTTACAACTAGCACTGGAAAGACCCAAGTTCAAATCCCCCCCAAATAAAATGGAGAAGGGGAAAATATTGTGCACCACTTTGGGTCCTATCAGGGAGAAAAGTGTTGTACAAATTAATAGCATGTCATATACTCGGCAACTTTAGCCTAGTTATTCTTTAATGAACCCACAAGGCTGTCTTTTTATGGAGTCAGACTGTTGGGCCGATCAAAGTCAGTGTTGTCTACTCTGAATGGCAGCAGCTCTCCAAGAGGAGGTCCTTTTCTTTACCTACCACCTGGTCTTTTCAACTGGCAATGCTGAGGGTTGAATCTGGGACCATGCAACGCAGATGCTTTCCCATCGAGAGATGGTCCCAGGTTGGCACAGGAAGCACTCCTCTACTAAAGAACGATCACAGAGCTTAAGCCTATTGACTCAGAATCAAGTTCTAAGACCCACTTTGGGGTTTAACTGATTCAAATAGTTACAACCAGTGTTCCCTCTAAGCTGAGTTAGTGTGAGCTAGCTCACTGTTTTTTAGCCTCTGGCTCACACATTTTTGTCTCCACTCAGGAAGGAGGGCTCCAGAGCAAACTAATTCATGCAGTAGCCAAATCGCTCACTCACAACTTTAATGCCGGTAGCTCACAAAGTAGATTTTTTGCTCACAAGACTCCATGGCTTAGAGGGAACATTGGTTACAACTAGCACTGGAAAGACCCAAGTTCAAATCCCCCCCAAATAAAATGGAGAAGGGGAAAATATTGTGCACCACTTTGGGTCCTATCAGGGAGAAAAGTGTTGTACAAATTAATAGCATGTCATATACTCGGCAACTTTAGCCTAGTTATTCTTTAAGCATACTCTACCTCACAGGGTTGTCATGAGGATGGAATGGTGTCGGGGAGGAGAAAGAACCAAAGTACACCCTCTTGTACTACAGACCAAAAATGGCACTAAAAGAATGAGCTGGGGTGGGCTTTTACAGCCCAGTCCTGGGTTAGACGTCCTTTCTTGGAAGCCAGTCCCACTGACCTCAACAAGGCGTACTCCTAGGGAAGGGTGCCGAAAAAGTTGTTCAACCAAAAGTACAAAGCACCGCTTCTCTGAGAAAGAGAAACACACGACGAAAGGAATGAATGAATAGGGGAGGGAAGACTCACCAGTGGCGCATGGGCAGTCCTGAGGATCCATCGCGTCTAGCAGTTGTTTTGCAGTCACCGTCAGCAGCTTCGAGGCAAAGAGCGGAGCAATCAGCTGTTGTCCCCGAGGCCTCTGGCCTGCTTATTTATAGCCGCCGGGCAGTTGCAGCGCGAGTGCAAAACTGCCCCCGCCTCCTTCCTGCGCACGAGCCGCCGGGCAGGGTGAAGGGCGCAAAGGGGGCCCGCCTCCGCCCGCCTGGGGTGTGCACGCGCCGCCAGCCGTCTCCTTGCCCACCGGGGGCCGAGTGCAAAGAGATGCGCGCGCTCCCCCCCCTTCACCCTCGTGTGCATTCGCACGTACTTCCCGGGTGGCCTTGGACCGTTCGGGTCTCTCCCTGCCTTTCCCAACAGTGGGAGCGCGTGCAAATGTTGCGCCCCCACCCCACCCCCGCTTTCCCACAAAACCTGGAGCTAGATTCCGCGTGTAAATGCCTTCCCAGAAAGTGTTGCAATACCCTCTCTCTAACCCAGACATTCGGGAGGACAGGAGAACGAGACTGCCCTGGTTTGGAAGTCCTTGGGGTAGAGGTGCCAAACGCCCCGTTATCAGCGGGATCGGATCCTGCCAAGTAAACGCTGGTAATTGTACCAGGAAAGACATCTTGGGGTTGTAGTGGATAGCTGGAGGAAAAGGTCGTTCGGGTGTGGGACAGCGCTAACTGATTCCATGTTGGGAATGATTAGGCAAAAATTGGTGGTGGTGGGGGGGGGCATGCTCATACATACAATGCTCCTACAGGCATGGAATGCTGAGACCAGTGGCTGCACCTCCAAAAAGACTGCAGAGCTGGAAAAAGTGTAGAATAGGGCAACCCAGATGATGAAGGGGTTGGGGCAGGCATCCTTCCTAAGAGGAAAGGCTAGGAGGCTGAAATTGGTTCCCAGTTCCTTCTTTGTTCCTTATTAGTGACTTATTCATTAATTCAGCAAAAAAAACCCACACACATTGGGGAGAGTTTAAAAGCTCTGAACCCCCAAATAAGGCTTGGACCACCATAACTCATACACCCCAAATTCAGGAGACTCTCCCCTTTGAGGGGACAGATTGTGTTTCCTGGTCCAAAGCACAGTTCTGGTGCCAACTGCTCTAAAGTAGGGTGCCCCCAGGACAGTCACACAGGTGGATGCTGGGCCAGGCTAAACCCCAAAACAATCTTTGGAGCATCCCAAATGACACATCCCCACACTTCAGAGACTGTCCTTTCTCCCACCCCAACAGCATAATGCATGTACAAGTGTACATAAACATTAACACAAGATGGTTGGCATAAGTTGTAACACAGGACAAAATTTTATTTGCTTCCACAAATTTGGAAAGAATGGCAACTGGCGTCTTTATGATGGATTGAATGAATAACAACACTCAGGACATGGTGACACAGAGGCCACAGAAGCTGCCTTCGGCACTATTCTGAAGAGACGTCCACTTCCCAACCGCATTGTTGCTGTGGGCCCTATTGTATACCTTAATGTTCCCTCCCCCACCCCAGGAGGGAAGACTCAAAATTCCAGGGACACTTCATGAAAAGTATTGGAAACAAAGTCACAATTCAATTTTTCTATGACTTATTATTTCACAGTCCATCCATACCAGGCTCACAATTAACTGTGCTGTGAGCTTCCAGGGCATGAGGGCCACCAGTGACCAGGGAGCATGTAAAGATACTCTTTTTACCCTAAAACACAAAAGTTTAGCCCTGGATCCTCCTCCACATTTTCCTTACTACCCCATTGCTCCTTGGAGCTTTCAAGGCTCACTTCTAAGAAAAGTCCTGCACTCCCCAGGTCTGTAGAACAAGGGTTTGTGTCAACCTGAGGTGGTTTTGGCATACCTTGGTGTCAACAGCAGAAATCTGCTACCACAGGAGCAGGTTTTTTCCCCACTAGGGGAAACCCCAGGTTTTTTCACCCACTAGGCGAGGATACATTCTGCCCCCCCCCCCACATCAGACCCAGGCTCTGTAGAAGGAGAAGGACACATGATTAGGAACAATAAATGTACAGATAACAAAGCAAAAATCCACGTTTAGTGATTTGACTTTATATGTTTGGTACTGTTTTGTTTGCAGTTTTAGCCACATTGGTGAAGCAACGTCACAAATGTTAAAAAATAAAATAAAATAAATAACTTTTCAAGTGGCAGATGAACAATAAATCACTTAACACAATTATGATTGACATTCTGGACCATGTATACCTAAAGCAACATTCTGGACCATGTATACCTAAAGCAACGGAAACTATGGATCTTGGTGCTTATACTGTGACATTAATATGATAAACCACATTGGGACTACACACCATTTCAAACATATTGGTGCTCGGGGCACCTCACTTTGTAGAAATTGGCAGAAGAACAAGGCTTTGGACCAGGAAACAGCATACATCCCTTTGAAGGGAAGAGTCCCCTGAATAACCCACTGTACAATAAGGCAACCTATGAGGTTGAAGCAATAAGGACCAATCACAAGCGATCCCGCTCTGCACGGTGATTGGCAAACATATTCTGGGCTAGGGCTCCTATTGGTTACATTAGGATCCTAGCCCAGGGCGAAGCTTAACATGGCATCTCAATGGCACAGTTCACAAGGCAGTTATATACATCTCAATACATAACAGTTTTGGCATACCTTGGTGTCAACAGCAGAAATCTGCTACCACAGGAGCAGGTTTTTTCCCCACTAGGGGAAACCCCAGGTTTTTTCACCCACTAGGCGAGGATACATTCTGCCCCCCCCCCCACATCAGACCCAGGCTCTGTAGAAGGAGAAGGACACATGATTAGGAACAATAAATGTACAGATAACAAAGCAAAAATCCATGTTTAGTGATTTGACTTTATATGTTTGGTACTGTTTTGTTTGCAGTTTTAGCCACATTGGTGAAGCAACGTCACAAATGTTAAAAAATAAAATAAAATAAATAACTTTTCAAGTGGCAGATGAACAATAAATCACTTAACACAATTATGATTGACATTCTGGACCATGTATACCTAAAGCAACATTCTGGACCATGTATACCTAAAGCAACGGAAACTATGGATCTTGGTGCTTATACTGTGACATTAGCATGATAAACCACATTGGGACTACACACCATTTCAAACATATTGGTGCTCGGGGCACCTCACTTTGTAGAAATTGGCAGAAGAACAAGGCTTTGGACCAGGAAACAGCATATATCCCTTTGAAGGGAAGAGTCCCCTGAACATGGGGGTGTATGACGTGTGGTGGTCCAACCCGAATTTCACTGTACAGAGGGCATGCAGTCATTCCAGTTCCTCATTCAAATCTCTTTTGACATACAGGCCTCTTGGTGGTACTTCAAATAGAAGCTTGTGGTGCCAGAACCAGTGTTTGGATCGGGCACCACTGTATGTCCTCCTGCAGGGGACAGTCTCTGGAGTGTGGGGATGTCTCATGTGGGGTGGTCCGAAGATTGTTTTGAGGTGCAGTCTGGCTAGGGTTGCCAACCTCCAGATGGTGGCTGGAGATCTCCTGCTATTGCAACTGAACTCCAAGGGACAGAGATCTGTTCTCCTGGAGAAAATGGCCATTTTGGAAGTTGGACTTTATGGCATTGCACCCCAAACCCCACCCTCCTCAGGCTCCACCTCTAAAATTTCTAATTACTTCCTAACCCAGAGCTGGCAACCCTAAGACTGGCCCTTGTGTCCATCTGTGTGATTGTCCTAGGGGCACCTCACTTTGGAGTAGCTGGAACAAGAACTACACTTTGGGCCAGAACACAACATATGTCCACCCAGAGAGGAGAGTCCCCTGAACAGGGGGTATATGACATGCGGTGGTCCAAACCTAATTTTGGTGTATAGAGGGCATGCAGTTGTTCCAGTTCCTTATCCAAATCTTTGAAATATAGGTCTCTTGGTGGCAGTCCAAATAGAAGCTTGTGGTGCCAGAACCAGTGTTTGGACTGGGCACCACTGTATGTCTTCTCTCAGGGGACAGTCTCCAGAGTGTGTGATGTAATCATTTGGGGTGGTCCAAAGATTGTTTTGGGGTGCAGCCTGGCCCCAGTGTCTGCCTGTGTGATTGTCCTGTGGGAGTGTATGATTTATGGTGGTCCAAACATTTATTTTGGGTTTCAGAGCTTTTAAACTCTCCTCAGTGTTCTTTGAATTCAGGAGTAAGTCACAAATAAGGAACGAATAAGGAACGAATAAGGAACGAATAAGGAACTGGGAACTGGGATCCAACTTCAGCCTCCTGGAAAGGCTAAAGTCTGGGGCTTGGAGTTATCCAGCTTTTGCAACTGATTTCTTGCTGACAGAGATCAGCTCCCCTGGAGAAAACGGCTGCTTTGAAGGGTGGACTCTATGGCATTGTACCCTGCTGAGGCCCCTCCCCTCCCCAAACCCTGCTCTCTCCTGGCTCCACCCACAAAGTCTCCAGGTATTTTCAAACACAGACCGGGCAACCCTGCTAAGATCTAAGGCTGGTCGGGGGGAAAGTACATTGTTTTTATACATTTGCCTATATCCAGACATGCCAAGACCAAACTATTCTGCTAAACACATCCTAAAACTTTGCTGGCTGTGGTCTTGTCTGGTTTTAGATAAATGGTTTCCACTGTTCTATAAATCTATTTTGCCTGTATAATCATTTTCCCAGCCAAGAGTCAGGGGCTTTTGTCCTGGGGGAGAAGACAACTGAGAGGAAATTATGAATGGGATACAGAAAGTGGACCGAAAGAATGGTGTCTCCCATGAAGCTGATACATTCAGGACAGGAAAGAAGTGCTTTTCTCACTGCCACTGGGTTTGCTGATGGCCACAAGCCTGGTTTAAAAAAAGGGGTTAGACAGATTCATGGAGGAGAGGTCCATCAATGGCTATGAGCTGTGGTGAGTAAAGTTGTTGTTGTTCAGTCGCACAGTCGAGTCCGACTCTTTGCGACCCCATGGACCAGATCACGCCAGGCCTTCCGGTCTTCCGCCGTCCTCTGAAGTTTGCTCATGTTCGTTGCATTTATGACACTGTCTAACCATCTCATCCTTTGCCGTCCCCGTCTTCTTTTACCCCCATAACCAGAAGGAGTCCACTTCAATACCAGTGCCAGGAAGTGACATCAGGAGAAGGCCTT